GGTTGGCCTTCTGGGTCTGATATTCCTACCCTTCCTCATCCCTGTCTGCTCAAAGACCATCTCTGAAGACCATCTCATTTCCATGTCCCCCAGGCACAGATCTCACACAGAGAAGGTTTGACGAGGCCGGTCCTTTCGTAACCACTGCTGTGCACCAAAGTGGTTAAAATTGGTATTTCTGGTCAATAATGTCAGGCAACACCACACGTGGTTAAGGGAAACCCAAACAGGAGTGAAAAAAGGGGCTGGTCTGGCTTAGTGGAAATGTTTATTGTCCGGTCGGTGGGGAGAATGAGAGGATCACAGTTTGATCCCACCTAGGGTCACGTTCAGTGTTGGAAGTTTCTGTTTCTTGCCCCACGCCCCCACCCCCCCGAAGAAGTTTTATTTATTTGTTTTGGGGATAAATGCATGAAGTGAGCCACCAGCTCACTTTTCTTTCACAAGGAAAGAAAAAGCCTGTCAGACAGGTTCTTACATGAGATGGACAATGAATGATGAGTCTGTTCCAGCCAAGCAGAAAGGGACGGATGGAACAAGGGGCCCTTGGGAAGGCAACACGCTCCTGATCTGAGACTTGGTTAAGGACAAACAGGGCTTGAGTCAGAAATACCTTGAAAGCATGATCGGATCCTCAGGCAGCATAAACCGGCTGATGATTTATTTACACGTGGTGAATCACTTCTCATGCAGTACTGTGTGCCTGTTTCCACGTTCAAATTCCCCCTGTGAAGGGAGACACGTGACACAGCACTGTCCCATGGAGAACGGAGGAAGACCTCACGTGCAGAGTGCCAGTCTGCTGCCTTGCTACCACGTGCCTCGGTTTCCCCACTGAGCAGAGGGTGTTGGAGGGGGATTCAGATCAGAAAGTAGGTCCTTGCGAAGCTCCCACACTGCCCACAAGTCTCAGGCTACACGGTTCGAATGAGAGAAGGAAAGCTTGCTGCTGGCGCTGCCGGATTAATCAGCAGGAGACGGCAACGGAAGTCCAGGCTTTCGTTAATTAGAGGAGGACATGAGTTGATTCAGGGAGCATCTCCCACGTTGCACTGGGGAGCGTGTTTCTGCAATCATGCATCTCCCACGTTGCACTGGGGAGCATGTTTCCGCTGTCACATTCTTCTCCTCCCTGGAGACGGCGTTTCTAGGTACTGCTTCAAATCACAGCCCCGTGGAGCAGAACTGTGTCAGGTAACGTGTGACACAAGGCCTTCCCCGGGGGAGAAGCTGCGGGCCTGCCAGGAAGATAAACATGTTTGGCACTGCACAAACCAGGCTGTTACCGTGTCAATCACAGGGTCCTGGATGCAGCCGAAAGGCGGCTGGGAAGCAGAGCCGGAGACCAAGCCTTGCACAGAAGTTTTTCAGAACAGGAATCCCAAAAGCATAAACCATCCTCTATCCCACATAATTTCTGCCGGAGAACGTCCTCTCATGGTGGATTTAGTGTAGGCTATGAATATCTGCATAGGAATTCAAGATATTTAGTCAGGCAGAGGAAAGCCCAACGGCTTCAAGTAGAGGCTGCGAACACAGGCCAGTTCAGGGCAGAGTTAAGGCATAAGGGGAATTAGCCACTGGCACAGCTGATCCATGGCTGCTACGTCCCTCTGTGTTTACTGGGTCTGAATGCTTTTTGGAGGGATCTATCCCAGCCATGTACTGTGAGCACTGGGAGATAAAATTATGCGGCTTGTCCTGTGCAGGAGGACAGACCCGACAGTTCCTTCTGGCTTGTAAAAGAATCCATACGCATATATATAGCAAATGGCGTAATGAGACCCTGGTTTGTGTCATGGCCTTTGGGCACAACTGTTTCACAATTAAGAAATACACAGTATTAATCCTGGTTTTGGTGAGAATGTATCTTTTTGGAAATATTTGGGTAAGGATCTTTCTTCCCCCTTTTGGCGTAAAGGAGGTGCCGCGTTCCCAAACATAAGCATCTTCACGGGAGATTCAGTTCTGGTTTCGTTACGCAGAGGGTGTCTTCCTCCAGCACCACAGCACTAAGAACAGTCTGGAGAAAAGATAATCAAGTAGACCCTTTGCTGGGTAAATCATGAATCAACAGACCCAGCTGCCACTCGGGGTTTGGGGCTGGAGGCAATTTGTGTACCTTGTCTGTATTATGGGTACCGTGAAAGCTTTTCCTAATTAGTCTTCTGGAAGATGAAATGGCTACATGGATGTTGGCAAGTGCCATTCCCAGCCTGTTCACACAGGACTGAAATGGCTCGTTAAGTCATTGACAATCAGTGGTGGGGCCCTAAAGCTTTGAATACTTGATATGCTGCCATCCAGCAATTTTCTCATGTGAAGAGAAGCAAGAACAGCCAGGCACCTCTTCCCCATTTACTCCCTCCCTGCCAAATGAGCCTTTTTTCTAAAAAAAACCTGTTCCCTTAGAAACAGTCAGCGTAGCCCTTTCACCCCGGCTCCTCCTCGCCCCACGGTACAGCATGGCAGCCGTCCCGGCGCTGCTGCTCCCTGCTCACGGCACAGGCCTGCCCAGCCCTTCGGTACCACGGCGCGGGAGGCGATGGAGGAGATGTTTATGGCAGACTTGCTGCTGCAGGGGAGGTGGTACATGGAACTCCACGCTCTGACCTCAGCTGACGACTACGCAGTTGGCATTGGCAAGCTGCGGCTGCTTCCCCGTGTTGGGACACCCCTGCCCCTGTTCACCCGAGCGAGCCGTCAGGCTTTAAAGGCTGCAAAACGCCTCGTTCGGCTTCTCATCGCATTCACGCAAAGAAAACGTTAACCCCAGCCTCCTTCCAGCTCTAGACTGAACTGTTTCACTAGAGCATTTCATTATAAAATGAAATCACCCCGTCGGCTGGAACTCATCAGCTCTCACTGTCCGCTCCAGCAGCTTCTAGCCAATTTATTTCACAGAGCTCAGAGAAGCTGGAAAGGACTGAAGCAATGGGTAGGAACATGAACTTCTCGATACCAGATTTTCTGTGTTGGAAAAGATTACATGATCTACAGAGACATGTGAGCCAGGGAAAAGGTTCAGAGCACATCTGCGACTGAAATAAACCCAAAGAAGTTCAGTCAGGGCCTGAGCTGGGCCAGTTGTGTCTAAACTCACGTCTCCAAAACACCCTGGAATTTGGAAGATAACCACTCTATGAATTCACACTATTTGTCCTGTCAGACCAGGGTCCTTACTGGCAGTGGCTGGCACCAGCTCTCTGCCGAGAAGGTCCAAGAAATCCTGCTGCATAATTTTCCTCCTGACCCTGATAAAGGGTGTAAGTTTAAATCACAATACATTAAAATCTATTGCCCAGCAAAATTCTTTTTTCTTATTAAGTGAAAAGGTCTTTACTAAAACTCAAGTTCTCCTTCTCCACAGGAATATCAAATAGCATTTTGATCTCACTGAATTCTTGCTCGGCCTCTGGAAAAGTCATCTGCAGCCCTGCATCTGATAACTGGCCCTTTGGATGCCTTTTTGGGTGCTGCAGCCTCAAGCAGGATGTTTGTGTTTACAAAGATGAGGAACCTAGAAACCTTTTCATTCTCCCTCCCCACTTTGGCTGCTGCTTCTGAAATGCATGAAGACTCCTGTTCTCCAGAGAAACTATCTATCCCCATGTTCCTGTCTCAGCTTGTTCACACTGGGAACATAAATCCATGATGGGCCATGTTCTGTGGGAGGTAATATTCAGTGGATTGATTGTGTGGAGGACATCTCCGCAGGGATCCGAAGGTCAATCTCGTATCTCTTTGTAGTTTTTATCCACCATGGTGAATCTCAGGGGACTTTGGCTTCCTGTCATCCCGTAAATACTCTGGAGAAAGTACCTTGAAGGGTCTGTGGGAGAGGAAGTGCCTGTTGAGATGGCTTTCTTCCTGCCAGGCTGCCATGATCCCACTGGCTTTGTACGTCGGGACGGTCATGTGGCAAGTCTGGGTGAACTCACAGACTTTCTTGACCAGCCCTCCAAACACAGCTCCTCCGTAGAAGTCTCCTTCTTCCTCAGGGATGTAGGGTGCTGAAGAACTCCTCCTCTCATAAGGAACTGGCTTTGAGGGATGCTGCCGTATCACCCAGGGCCTCAGGCCCCCAGGCATGGAGAGCACCACATCAGTGTCCAGGCAGCAGAGGTAGGCCGCCTCCTGACGGCTCACCTCTGCGATAGGCCTGTTCACGGCCTCCTCCTGCACGTGGAGATCTCTTGCCAGCTGGGGTATCTCTTGATGGGGACAGTGCTATCTCTTGATGGGGACAGCCCTTCGTCCGGGCTGCAGCTGGACATCGGGAATTGTCTCAGGGTTGTCCATGAAGATATAACAGTTCACAGGAGACCCTTTCCTGAGATGTTTCCCTGCTGATTCCCAGAAGTGGCCCACAAACCTTATGCATCTGTGCAGACACAACACGTGAACAGCACGGCAGAGACAAGGGGCTGCACGGTGGATGAGGAAGGGTACTTTAATGGACGGAAGAAGACAAGGGATGAAGAGCGTTGGCGAGCTATTGCTGCAAGGATGCATGCACTACACACGCAATAGGTGAAGTACAGAGTGGAGGACAAGGAACAAGCAGATCGTCCCTGCTTTGACCAACCAACTACCTGTCTACAGCTCTAATTTCCAAGGCTAGTTCTTCAAAAACACCGACCATGCTTTAGGTACAAGGTAGCAGACTCAACCCCCAAGGTATGATTACGGACGCAATATAAGGACATAAAGATTTACTACAGACTGGGACAGACTTCAGTTCTGCTAAGGACAAGAAAAGCCAAAATGATCTTTCCATAGAGGAAGTACATCAACCCAAAAACTGTGCCCACCGAGGTGTTCACTTACTTTCCAACAGCAAAGGCTGCCACCCTGAGGGTGAGATTCAGTGGCCTGTAGGCACTGTCTAGGATCTCAGAATGGAAGGCTCCTTCCCAGACAATGGGGGCCAGCCACAGTGTGACTGCCAGCGCATCCTGACGCCTGAAGGAACAGAAAGGGAATGTTAATGAAATGTAACTGTTCCTTTTGGGTTCAAGGTTAGTAAATGGGAAAGAAACCCTAAAAAGGCAGCTAGAAGAGTGTGTCTATCAGCATGGACTCATTATGGATGGTATTATCTTCAGATCTTTTCCCCTGCCCCCTTATTTGTTACCAAGCACGGACATTTCAGTTCCTGGGATGAAATTAAACACTGTTTAACAAATTGGCAAAACCCCAAGGATCTACTAAGATCTCATTTAACTCACAGGATTTTCCTGCTGAGGAGAGTTTAATAACCATCGAACTCACGGAATGAGAAGCTACGCATATTTGCTATCAGTCTGATGCAGATTGGTACATACGGATTAAAACACCAGTAATAATATGAAAATGACTATAAAAATATACCCTATTGCTGTGTTATTAAAACACAGCTTGCAGCATGACAGTTTATTTTCCCAGTGTTTATATATAGCTTCAACACATTCAGATATCATTTCAGATTCTGTATGTCAGCCAGTATTGAAATGTGTAACAAAATTATAAGGAATCCTTAATCTCCTGTGTGGGTAGTGGAAATACTGAATACACATACAGCAGAGGCTGATTATGCCCTATCCCAGCCAGGCAATGCTATTTCAACGTTCTTCTTTGCATTCAGGGTTTCTTTCTTACCTTTTGATTTTAAAACAAGGTGTCATTCATGATGTGTAATTTACCCTGGCCTGCCCACATGCACCCCAGGCCATGATCTGTAACACTCTGCTAATGCAACTTGTTGTGCACAGCACAGGGCCAGGCTTGGAGGCTGAAGCAGTCTCCCATCTGACACAGTCCCAAGGCAATAACAGCACAAAATCCAAAGCGAGGGACCCATGGGGAGCAGTCTGATGGTGGAGGCAGCAGCGCATTTTCAGCCCAGATCTAATACTTTCAGTCTGAGTAGATACGAGAATAACAATTCCACCTCCTCCTGGGGTAATGTATGGGATTCAAAGATTAAATTATACAAGAAGATGAATTTGGTCTGTAGAAAATGTACTGAGTTGTTCTCTTTCTGGGTTAATTATCCTTTTTCAGCGGGGGGACAGAGAGAGACAGAAGGAAATCTGCAAGCTTGTTTCTCTAAGCAGGACTTCTTCTCATTTCATTTTAAAGGGCTGCATTGGGTTTCCCAATGACTCATTTCCATGGTACACATCCTCCCAGTGCTGCTAGTGAACTCCCTTCAGAAGACAGAGCACTTAAAACTATGATTCTCTCCTCATTTAGTCCAGCAGCTACTAGCTGATTTCCCACATTAATTTATTCCAGTATGGAAGAGAGAAATATTCAGGCCTAGCACATCCTGTTGAAGTAGCTGGGCGGGAGATATGTACCAACAGGGTGTGTTTATTAACACGCAGAAGAACCGTGGCTGTTGAAGGTAAACTGCTGGAGATAAGCGTCAGGTCACTGGAGCTGGACCGGGGGAGACTGCTAACAACCACGAGCATCTGCCTAAGTCACTTCATAGCTGCTGCTGCCTGAAACCTTCCACGTCTGCTTAAACTCATGGTTTGACTGCTTCCCTAGGGACTGGCCTGTGTGAGTGCCTGCAGTTTGTTCCGGCAGGTTAGCTGAAACCACTGCTGAAGGTCACACGAGGCACTTGCTTGATTTTGCCCCCAGATGGCTTTGAAGGTCAGTTACAGAAAGTATTTCTCACTGTCCTCCAGCTATTACACATCTCCCATCTCAAAAAGAGCTCGGGGCAGCAGCCAGGTAGATGGACTGGAGCTTGCAGGAGGTATCTTGGTGAGTACACAGTGACTAAACTCTGAGCAGCACAGACAGCTGTAGGCATACCCGTGTGGTTAGGCTCCTCTTGGAACAAGGTACCATTCAGTGTGTACCAGGACTTTGAAACTGTGAGTGCCACGGAGCACCCAAATCGAAGTCAGCAGACAAGTTCAAACAAAGAGACTTTCTTTGGAGCCAGCACTCTTGGCTGCTGATAAAATAATCTGTAAAAAGGAAGAAATATCCACTGAATAATACATGAATATGCCCGGAAGAGAGGAACAGCAGTTTAAAGGTCAGGAAATAAAAAGCCAGTACTCACTGGGGGAAAAGCTGGATTAGCTTCCCTTCTGCATACTGGAGTTTCATGGGGGTGGGAAAAGAAAGGGATTCCAATGCTTTTCCTAAAACAAGAGCCAGGTTCAGCTTCAGGACCTGTTGCTGTATCGACAGCTGTCCGAGTCCTCACTCCGGTTGCTGTGCCACCGCTCTGCCTGGAACAGGGAGTTAGACAGACACAGCCTGTCTGCGCCTGCAAGGGCTGCCAGGCGAGCAACAGTTCTGAAAGGGAGCACACAGCAGAGCCGGGAGAGAGATGCTGGCAGCACTCCAAGCCTGTGGGTACATCAGAGTTTTGGGGTCAAAATCTAGGGAAGCACATGCTGGTTGGGGGCTGCCAGTCGTGCTCAGGTATGAGCTCCATTCCCTGCGTAACTGCTTCTGTTCACCTGGAGGGCTGAACCACCTGACATACCACACCTGAAACAGCATTCGGAGAAATAAGCATCTTAGTAGACACAAAGTTTTTTAACGACTTGAAATGCCTCCACAAGAGATCAGCTTTTCTATCTGCATTTTTTGTTTTGTTTTTACAAGATCAGTAGGTGATGATAAAGGATGGGAAAAGCTGGGGCCTGTCATGTCCAATATGGCAGTGACGTCGCTTAGGCCCGTGCCCTGCTCCTCCACAGTGGCATTAAATTCTCTTTAACGCACCTCTGAGACAGCTTTTAGGAGCCGTGCTGAGCCGGTTACCCGTACATCAGTTTGCATCACGTGATGAAGCCGACCCCTTAAACTGTAAGGTTTCTGGAGAAGGAGCTTCCTTTCACGTAAGAAATGTAACTGGAATATTCTGTGCTGGAATACTTGTTTGTGAGTCAGATACGGTGCTAGTAACCTGATTTAGGCACAATTGGTCTTTTTTTCTCCCTCCCTTCAGCGGCTTCTCCCCTGACTAGTGTTACTTTATCTATTATAAAAATTACTGTTCTTTCTTCCAGCTCTGGCAGGGACTTTCCATAAACCGCACTGCCTGTATTTCTCTGCTACGATGCTTTTCACCACAGTGTAGATACAGACAGGATGTTTTAAATATGACCAAGCTTCCCAGCAAATGCTTACCAGATAAACGCAGTAACAACAGACGGACGGACAGGAGATCCTAACACTTCCCTGGAAATCATGTCTTCTAGAGTAAGAGGTAACTTATTCCCAGCAGCTTTCAATCTGCAAAGCACAAAAAAGCAAGGGCAATAGCTATAACCATCTCACTACGAGAGAAATGGATTATTTTATTGTAGAAGCATGAGGTTCTCCAAGCAGTTTAATGTTAATCAGTCTTTCTGAAGCGAGGAATGCAGAAGGAACCAGACTGTAAGAGCCAGACCACTTAGTCACTGAGGCAGTTCTTGTAACCATTCAAGAAACCTCTCAGTTTCAGTGAGATCTAATCAGAGTTATAGGTGCGTGGGGAGCCTTTCTGATTTGATTCTAGTTTCTGTAGGTTCCATTTATTCATCTAAAGCACACACCCTTTGCAATTTAATAAACTCACTAAACCCAGTCGTATCAGGTGATAACGTAGAGCTGATAAACTCCATTTTTCACAGAAGAGTAACTGCCAGAGACAGCTCCTTCAAAAGTGCAGGTAGGAGAAAGGTAAACTGAGGCCCAGTACAAACAAAGAAACATTACACGACAATAATAATGAGAATCAGGTCATGGTGTTTCTCTAAGTCAAAGAAATCACAGCCAAGAAAATCAACTTCAGCTCAGCTGTCTGACCTTAAAAGCTCAAATTAATCTCTTTTCTGTGCACAGGGTAGTAAAGGTTCCCACAGCGCGAACCACGGGCCCCGTGACACACGGACAAAGCCTTTGCCTGTGGCCTCCTCGTTACAAGCACACTAATTGTTACAGGCTGTGTTGCTTATTACCTTCAGTGAACACAGAACTACAGTTCTGCAGATGCGTCTCTCGCGTGTGCACGCTCACTTCTGCCTCCGCAGCATCCTCTGCGTCCATGTCAAGTCCTCTTCTGCAAAGCCAGCTTTCCAGGCTGCTGCTGTAACGCAGGCTGAGTCTGAGGAAAGCACTTGCTCGCATGTGACAGGAGCCTGGGGAAAGAAAAGGGGTTGTTTGTCAAACTCCTATTTATAGAGTCAGACACATTGATGTTAGTGGTACGGAGCGCTTCTTCGGGGGAGGCTGAAGTAAGCATCACAGATCTTTTCTGTCCTGCCCCTTGGTCAGGCAGACAACAGTGCCAATGGATCTGGGAAGTCAGCGGCTATTTTCCCACTTCAATTTATAAAACGACAGCTGGCAAAAAAATTTGTAATTTACTTTACTATGCCATACAGAAATCCTCTGTGGTGCTTCTTCCTCACTCTCCTGTCAACCAATCTAATCAGCTTTCACCGAGAAGCATCACAAAATCCCACTTAAACAACAAAAAAAATTAAAAAATATCTATACCTCTCAAGGTCTTCTGCTATTTAACGCCTTGGTGGATTCATGCGGAGCAGTTCTGGATTCCTGCCTAAAAATGCTGCAAAGATTTGCAACCAGCCTTTCCCCTCTAGCTGACATTCTACGCTTCGAGCAGCCTTATCCAATTCCTGTGCTAATTCTGTAACGAGAGCTGCTACACCGACGCCAGGATTTTTCAGTGCCACGCATCTGACCTCGTGCCTGATGCCTTCGGCACATGCAAAACGGACAAGTGTGCAGAGGGGGGGTCAAACAGCTGCTTTTCAGTCATGGAGAGCTGGGTGGACATGGGGTGGGAAGGCAGCCTGTCCCAGCGCTTCACTGCCCTGCTCATCAGGAGGCTTCCTCATTGCCAACCAGGATCCCTCTGCAGTTTAGGTCTGTGCCTTTTTATGACAGTGTTCGTGCACCTGGAGACTCCCTTTACATATGTGAAATCTGTGACGTTCCCTTCCCTCTGTTCTGCGAGCTCAACCACCACAACTCCTTCCATCTTCCTTTGTAGATTGTTAGCTTCAAGACCTGCGATTATTTCTGTCAATTCTGTTTGATCTCCAACCAGTCTGTTCTCAGGAAGCGTGGGGCCAAAACCAAACCGAACACTTTGAGTAAAGCAGGATCACCCCCAAAACCCAAGTGCTGTGGCAGTTCATACATTCCCCCGCGGCACTCGCCTGCTTTGCAAGAACAGAGCACTGCTGAGGACATTCAGCCTGTGGCCACGCGTAATCCACACACTTGTCTACGGAACTTCCCCTAGCCACGTCTGTGACACACCGAACCTTGTCCGTGACTTTATGGAGTTATACTCCATTTTCAGCTATTTGGTTTTTTAAAACATCAAGCCTTGACTGAATTCTTTCTCCGTGGTACTTACAGCCCCTCCCAGCTTGATACCACTTGCCAATTTCATAAACATCCTCTCAAATTTTTCCCCCCAAAGCATAAATGGAAACATAAGACAGTACCACTTCGCAGAGGTTTCCTGGGCCTCTCCTTTCCTGCACCTGACCATCCTCGTGCTCTTGTCGCCATGGCATAGACAGCGACAGCATGGAGCTGGGGTGATGGGGAAGGACAGAGGGTAACAAACAGATGGAGGAAAGGAGAATAAAAATTATTCTCAAATTGAATAGTAAAGTTAACACAGAATAAAGACAGCCATGAGCATGCTGGTTATTTTAGTGCCGTTTCAGCTATTACAAGAGGCATAGTGTACTTCCATGTGCCTTTACAGAGTAAACATCTAATCCCTCAGGAAAACCAATCCACAGATTTTGAAATATTGCATCATCAGGAGCACAGCTGATGCATTCCCCCTTTGTTTCAATTTCTCTGTTACAAATCTGCAAGAACACTGGAGCCAGATGAATTCAGAACGTCTCCCTGCATCCAAAACCATCTCACTGACATTTACCGTATTTGTCCCCAACTGATTTACAACTCTAGGGTTCACAGTGGATGCAAATATGCAAAAATGCAATAGATGTGGTCACAGTCAGTGACAGAATCTCCTATTTTCAATAGTCACTCAGGTTCCTTGAATTTGTGCTGCGGGTTTTTTAACGCTATATGGTTGAAAGTAGCTCTATTAGTCTAAATGAACTTGCTTGACCCCTCAGAACAAAGCGGTGCTTTATCTTCAAGCCCTGCCTGGAAAGCATTTTGGATTGCAGATAAATACCTCACTTGTAGACCATTCCATGGAAAATATTCTTTGCAGATCAACTATTTCAGATTTCTAAACCTGTATTTCAGATTTCTAAAACTGAAGGAGCGAGCTGAGTACGGTGCTGTTCAGAATGTGAAGAAACAGAGGATATCCGTGGGAAGGGCTTCATCTGCGCAGAAGGGAAAGTTTCCTTGCTCACTCCCCTATTAAACAGGCTGCCTTCAACTGTCCTAACTTCAGACTGCACCATGACCCTGACGTATTCCATCGCACCCGGAACATGAACTTCAGTACCGATCCGCTGCTTGGGCTTCTCGCTTTTCAGATTCTCCTGTTACCGCTCGCGCCGTAACGAGTTAACTTCACCCTGGCTGAGATCCAGCTAGGAAGCATTGCAGAGAGTCTACGTTTGTTTATGGCACATTCATCAGGTTTTTTTATTTCAAGAGGCAAAAACCAGCTCGTTTCACCACTGCACTTGTTCAGTACAACAGAAATTAGGAAGAAAAATAACGTTAGACTAAACCTCTAACAGCACTGATATTAGTAGAAACTTCTGAGTTTACACCAACGATGATCAGGACGTCAGCAAGACGGTTGCTTAATCTTCTGGATGGATTGTTCCCACCAGTCTTGCCAGTGCTTAGTGGTCAGCAGCTGAGCTGTACTTTCCTTCTCGATCTGGGCAAACTGCTGCTCAAGTTGACATTTGTACTTCTGTACAAACAACAAGAAGAAAGGACAAAATTGGTAGTGATGAAATATAATTTCACTTTGCCTAAACCCAGGTCCTGATCCACTGTGTCAGAGGATTGCATACAGGTCACTTACTTTCTGCCTTTGGCAGCTGAACTGCGTGAACAATGAATTAGTCACTGCCGTTCCTTTTAAAGACTCCGGAAACGAAACTATCAGCAATATT